CTGAGCAAAACTGGCCAGGGCTATCCTATATTCTTTTTTCTTTTTTTTTAAATTAATTTTTTCTTTTCTTTGATTTTTTTTTGTGTTTTTGTTTTTTGTTTTTCTTTATCCTATGTTCTTAAAATAGAAATACTAGACTTCTGGTCAAGATGGCAGCATAGATAAACACAGTACTCACCTCCTCCCACAACCACACCAAAATTACAACTAAACTACAGAACAAACATCCTTCAGAACTATCTTAAATTGAGCTGAATGGAAATCCTACAACTATGAAAGTAAAGAAGAAGCCACATTGAGACTGGTAGGAGGGGCAGAGGCACAATGTGCTGGTCCCACATCCACCTGTGGTGGATAAAATCAGGAGGACACTTAGCTGGGAAAGTCCTCCCTGAGGCGCAAGGGGTCCCCATCCCACACCAGGCTCCCAGTTCAGGGTTCCAGTGCCAGGAAGAGAAGTTCCCACAACTTCTGGCTGGAAAAACCAGTGGGAACTGAGGCTGAGGGAGACTGATGCTTCTGGAGTCCCAGGCAGCTCCTCTTAAAGGCCCTGTCGGACTTACTCGGACTTGCTCCCTCTGAGCTCCAGGGCGGAGGGATGGAAGCTTGAAAGGCACCAGAGACATACGGGGAAGAACTGAGTTGTTTGGTATTGGGATGAGGACTGGAGAGGCAACACTATCCCAGCAAACCTGCTGTCAGAGGCCATTGTCCCTTTGGTGAGCTCTTTCTCCACAGACCAACAGATAGGTGCCATATCTGGGACTCCAGCAACCTGGCTCACAATGTTTTCCCTGCTCTGCCTCACCCAACTTTTAGGCCCACCCAAGTTGTTTCCAGTGGCTTTACCATAGGATTGGTCTGTTTTGGCGCCTGCTTCAGATTTATCTCAAACAAGCAGCATCTGGTCCTCAGTGAGCCCCATACCTCTCACTAAGTGGTCCCAGGCCTGGCACTAGAAGCAGCCAGCCTTGGTTCACAGCTTAGCTGTGCCTGAACACCTCCAAGCCCAAGCACAAGAAACAGCCATCAGCAGATTGCTTTGTAGCTCATGCCTGGTGGCCCCAGGTAGAACACAGGCAGTGGCTAACCTTGCGACAAAGCCAGCACACCCAATGGACAGCTTCAGACCACGTCAGAGCACCACCATCCAACCACCTCCACAAGTGACATGCTCAAGGAATGGACTTAGTGGGTACCAGAGCCCTAATGAAGTAAGTCTTGCTCTGCACAGCTGATCATTCAAGGTAGTCTGAGATCGGTGGTCAGTGGGCATAGCCAGTCCTTGCAACTGATCAGCCTGAGTAAATCCCTCCCACTGATGTGCCAACAGCAATCAAGACTCAATTACAACAGAATGGTGTAAAGTCCAGATGAGGGGTGCACCTTGAGGGCCCACCTGGCGTGATCAGGGAGGCTGTGCCATTGGATGCTACAGGACACCTAGTATAACAGGCTAACCTAAGAAACCTAAAAGACATAGCAACTCTACCTAATACATAGGAACAATCACAGGGAGGCAGCCAAAATGAGGAGACAAAGAAACATGTCCCAAATGAAAGAACAGAACAAAACTCCAGGAGAAGAACTGAATGAAATGAAGATAAGCAATCTAACAGATGCAGAGTTCAAAACACTGCTTATAAGGATGCTCAATGAACTTAATGAGTATTTCAAGGAACTTCGTGAAAATGTTGAGGAATTTAATGAGTACCTGAAGAACATGATAAAGGGCTAATCAGAAATGAAGGATGCACTAACTGAAATAAAGAATAATTTACAGGGAATCAGTAGTAGAGTAGGTGAAGCCAAGAAGCAAACCATTGATTTGGAATATAAGAAGCAAAAATCACCCAATCAGAACAGCAAAAAGAAAAAAGAATCCAAAAAACTGAGGATTATATAAGGAGCCTGTGGGACAATTTCAAGTGTACCAACATTCACATCATGGGAGTGCCAGAAGGAGAAGAGAGAGAACAAGAAATTGAAAACCTATTTGAAAAAATAATGACAGAAAGTTCCCTAACTTAGTGAAGGAAACAGACATACAAGTCCAGGAAGCACAGAGAGTCCCAAACAAGATGAACCCAAAGAGGTCCACACCAAGACACATCATCATCAAAATGCCAAAGGTTCAAGACAAAGAGAGAATCTTAAAAGCAGCAAGAGAAAAGCAGTTAGTTACCTACAACACAGCTCTCATTGGACTGTCAGCTGATTTCTCAAAAGAAACTTTGCAGGCCATAAGGGAGTGGGAAGAAATATTTAAAGTGATGAAAAGCAAGGACCTACAATCAAGATTACTCTATCCTGCAAAGCTATAATTTAGAATCAGTGGCCATATAAAGAGTTTTCCAGACAAGAAAAAGCTAAAGGAGTTCACCACCACCAAACCAGTATTATAGGAAATGTTAATGGGTCTTCTTGAAGAAGATAAAAAATATGAACAATAAAATGGCAATAAATACATATCTGTCAACAATTGAATCTACAAACAAAATAAACAAGCAGAACAGAAACAGACTCATACAGAGAACTTTTTGTTGCTTGCCAGATGGGAGGGGGTTGGGGAAATGGGTGAAAAACGTGAAGGGATTAAGAAGTACAAATTAGATGTCAGACTGACAAATCTCAAAGAGAAGGGGGGAGATGGGCAGGAAGAGAGAAACCAAAGAACTTATATGCATAACCAATAGACACAGGCAATAGTGTGGGGAAGGCAAGAAGGGGGAGGGAGTGGAGAGGGAGCAAAAAAGGAGGGACATCTATAATACATCAACAATAAAGATACGTTTAAAAAGGAAAAAAAAATACAGAAATACTAATTATCATCACCAAGATGACTACTGAGAACTTACATAAATTATACATATGCTATCCCCATTCCTTCCTCACTTTTTGTTTTAGAAAAAAAAAAGGTTGACAAACTCATTTTTTAGTGTTTTAATTAGTTTAAACTGCATAATTCAGTGGTTTTTAGTATATTGAAGTTTATATATGCTGTATACCTGAAACTAATACAAAATAATATTGAATGTAAACTGTAACTAAAAAATAATTTTTTAAAGTTATACAATCATCACCATTATCTAATTCCAGAATACTTCCATTACCTCTGGAAAAAACCCTTCCATTATCCCATCCCCAGCCCCTGGCAACCACTAATGTATTTTCTCTCTCTATGGATTTCCATGTTATCTACCCTTCATATAACTGGAATCATAAAAGATGTGGCCTTTTGTGTTTGGTTTCTTTCAGTTAGCATGATGTTCTCAGGCTCATCTCTATTACAGCACATAAAACAAATTATTATTATTATTATTATTATTTGTTAATCCTTACCCGAGGATATTTTTCCATTGATTTTTTTTTTTCACATAGAGTGGAAGGGAGGGAGGGTGAGAGAGAGAGAAACATCAGATATGAGAGAGACACATTGATTGGTTGCCTCCCACACGACCCCGGGGCCGGGGATAAAAAATATGAACAATAAAATGAACCTGCAACCCAGGTATGTGCCCTTGACTAGAAATTGAACCTGTGACCTTTGGTCCATAGGCCAATGCTCTAACTGCAGAGCCAAACCAGCCAGGTAGAAATAAGTTATTTTTTAAGTAAAAACAAAAAACAAAACAGTACAAGAATGATTGGGCATCAAAATTTTCACACCCTTCATAAAGAAGCTTGCTCCAGCTAACTTCACTTGTTCCCTGCAGAGGCCTGAAAGCCTTATTGAGTAGGAGCTATCTACCCCTGCCAGAAAGCACAGTGCGTGAAGGGCACCTGCCGGCCACTGCACAGTGCTTCTGGAAGACAGCTGGGCTGGGGCTCACGTCCCACGATGCATCTCTCCTCAGTCCCTCAAACTAGACCAGCTCCTGGATATGTGGATACAGCCTCTGCCCCTACTTGGCACTACTCTCTGCCATCCCAGATGAACAGGGCCTTTCAGCATTGAAATCTGGGTCACAGTCTGCTAATGCAGCCCGACAATCAAAGGCCTTGTTCTCCATCTGTGACTAGCCTTGGGTTCTAATATGGCTACAGGGCCTGAACCGGGCATGACTAGTGAGGAACACACCACAACTTTTGAGCTGAGAACCTCTCTCTCTACACTGACCAGAGCCTACCCTGTTGAACCCAAGTGAGACTACCTTCAAGGAAGGCTATGTACAACTGTCCCCATGACCCAGTAACCTTTCCCACCATTCCCCACCCCCAGGCTCTGGGCCTCACCCTCCTGTATGCAACTGCCTGATCACAATGAGTAGGATAATGTGTTTATTAGTCAGCAACTTGAGAGACTCTCCTGTGTTTTATTCACTTTATACCCGCCAGTGCCTGGTCCAGAAAATGCTGTTCATCAATGTGTGTTCAATTAGAGAGGAACAAGACAGCATCCTCAACCAGATTGTGAGCTGCCTGAGACCACTGGCTTCACCTTCTAACTGGCCCCTTTTCTTTCGCCTCCCATAGTAAAACCAGACAAAAGATTGGGAGCAGGGTGGGAATGTAGATGAGTAATGGCTCCATTCAAGATTCAAAAATCTCCACCTGTAGAACTTCTGCACAATATCTTTATTTAGTTAAGGAAGATATGTCCTACACATTTCTGGATAAGTGGGCATGAATTTTCTCTATCACATTTAATAAGTTGTTCTTAAGTTTTTACATATAATAAATGCAAACATGCAAGTACAATGCAGGCAAAAATGAAAAGCTCCTTGCATACAAACATTTTATTTTTATTACTATTTTTGAAAATCTTCACCTGAGGATATTTTTCCATTGATTTTTAGAGAGAGTGAAAGGGGGATAGAGAAAGAGAAACATTGATGTGAGAGAGACACATCAATTGGCTGCCTCCCGAATGACCCTGATTGGGGCTAGGGTATGAACCACAACCGAGGTATGTGCCCTTGACAGGGAATTGAACCTGCAACCCTTTGGTCCACAGGCCAATGCTCTAACTGCTGAGCCAAACTGGCCAGAGCCATACAAACATTTTAAAAAGACATGTTAATGCTGGGCATAGAGAAAGGAGACTAATAGAAGGTGATTGAATTACCAACCCTCACTTCCCGACCTGTTCCTGGTGCCTAGATATAGGACTCTCTCTGCTCTTCTAAGTCACAAGTCCCCAGCTCCTCATGAACAGGAACAGAGGACTCCTCATAAGGCCAAGAGACAGCACTCTTTGTGACTTCAAAGAGGAAGACGATTCCATCAGGCACAGTGTTGCAGATCTCTGTGGTCAGATTCCTTAGCCTTGTTCAAGTAGGGAGACCATCTCTATGCCAGTATCCTGAGCTGCCTCTTACCTTCACTTTTGATGGCTATTAGTTGTCAAATAAATTTGACAAGCCCCGGTGTGGCTTATTCTAAATGTTTCTCAAGTCAGTCAGCCCACACAGAGAGCCAGCTAGCTGCTGGGCCCAGGGGCTTCCAAAGAGCTCCTGAGATGTTTCCAGAGGCCTGAGAATCTTCTAACCCTACCAGATCTCGTAGCTCAAGCACTAGTTTAGAAGGTTCCATCAGCTCCTGTGTGGCCCCTACAGTGTCCACTGTCAGCATTCACTATGCAGAGAGGAAAGTCCAGGGTGGTGGTGCAGGCATGACAGCCAGACAGCAAAAAATCAGCCAGTTCAATATCTGTGGGTTTCATGCCAAAGCTTAGACCACCATTGGCCAGCCACCTGGCCTGTCTGGGCAGCCAGGCGAGGGAGACAGACATGGGGCCTTACTTTAGTCCATATACCTCATCAGGGTTGGTGGGAGGGACATGGTATAGAAGGTAGGGGGATCTCACTGAGGCCCTGTGCTTGACTGAGTTTCCTCCATCCCCAGTGCCGGCAGACACACAAGTCTGAGAGGCTGTTACAGGTACATGGCTCTGCAGGATTCTCAGCCCCTTAAGAGCGAACCTGCACCTGGAAGTGCTCGCAGCGGGCATGCTTCATGGACAGCCCGTAGATGGGGGTCATGTCCACCTTCACGCCTGGTGGGATGCTGAATTCTACCTGCTGCAGCAGGATGGCCAGGAAAAGAAAGACCTCGAAGCGGGCAATGGTCTCACCAATGCACTTCCGCTTGCCTAGGCCAAAGAGAACCACCTGCTCACTCAGTGCCTTGTTGATAGTTCCATTGGGGGTGAGAAACCGTTCTGGCCGGAACTCAGATGGGTCATCCCACAGTTTCCTGTAATCAGAGAGAGGCAGCTGAAGTGGCAGCCTGGAGGCACAGAAGCATCTACTGGGTTGCAGCCCAAGAGCAGGGGATAGACAAGTGGGCCAGGGATAGCAAGGTCTGAAACTCAGAAGAAGGTGGAATTTATTCTGCTCCCTCTCAACTTACTGGTCATGGTTGATCTGCCACTGGTTCACAAAGACACAGCGCCCCTTGGGGATGTAAAAGCCACTCAGACTTGTGTCTCTGGTGGTACTGTGAAAGGAGAAAGCTCAGTCAAGCTCAGGGCCACAGTGAGATCCCCCTACCTCCCACACCATGTCCCTCCCACCAACCCTGATCAGGTATATGGACTGAGGTAAGGCCCAGTACCATACAGCAGTTGATCCATGGGGACTTACCTGTGGGGGATAGTGAAGGGGACAAAGGAGGAGTGGCGGAAGGTCTCCAGGATGAAGGCCTCCATATAGGGCAGCTGGGGTCTGTCGGAAAGCCGGGGCTGCCGTGCCCTGCCGATCACTGTGTCTGCAGAGCACAAAGGACCAGGCAGATGAACAGGCCTCCCAGACCTTGGCTGAGTCCCCTGCCTTGAGCATTTTGTAGGAGGCCACCTACCAAGCTCCTCCTGGATCTTTTTCTGCACACTGGGGCTCGTCACCAGGTATAGGAGGCTCCAAGAGATGGCAGTTGTGACTGTGTCAAACCCTGGCCAGGAAAGAACAGAGGGAGAAGTTAGGCAGTTGGTGAGTCAGGGCAGTTGGACACAGGAAAGGCAAATGGGGTAGCTCATACCAGCTCCAAAGAGGTCCAAGACAACACTAACAATCTTCTCATCTGACAGCTGGATATTGGCATTCTCATCCAGCCTCTTGTCCTGACAGTGATCAATCAGGCTGTCTGTGATGTCCCGGATGTGGCCCTGAGTAGGGAAGGCCCACAGGTGAGTAAGATCCTGAACCCAGACCTACCTCTCCATCCAGACCTCGTCCCTTACCATCCCTAGCATCTTTATTCAAGAGGTGACCCCCCACCCACCCAAGGCTGCCATCCCAGTTTCTCTCTGCCTGTCCAAGGCCCTCTCCTGCCCCAACTCAAGGGACACCTGACACACACAGTCTGGTACCATTATCATCTAGATGTGCTCTTTACCCCTTCTTCTCCCCTGAGGCCAGGAAACTAACTTTTAAACTCTTCCTAGTCCCTGTAACTGGCCTAGGTTACTGTGTGGACTGGTAATTAGGTAAATATTGCTGTCTGACAGAAGGATAAAAGGGCTGGTCAAAAAAAAGTTCTATTTCCCTGCCATGGATGGAGTCCTGTCCATTACTGGTTTCAAAATCCCAGGGTAAAGGTCCCTGAGAGCCAAACCCCATGCTACTCCAGTTATCACTGACCTCCAGACCCCTGACCCTACCAGCTCCTAACCACCCACCTGCCTCTCCCCAGCCTGTACCTTCTCAAATGTTTTATAGTGTTCCTTAACCATCTTTTGCATGAAGATGTAGAGCTTCTTATTCAGGTCCTTGAAGACATTCAGGGCAGGGTTGGGCAGGTAACGAAGGATAGGAAGGAAGTCGGCTGGGTTTCCAGAAGCAGCCACCTCCCCGAACTCATTACTCAGGTTGACTATACTAAGTAGCTCTTGGTTATCATGGTCATAGCGCTGACCAAAGCATATGGCACAGATGACGTTGGCCACTGACACCACTACATACCTGTAGGGGTCAAAGTGTCCAGCCCCTGCCATCAGCTCCTGAAACTTGCTGATGAGGGCCTCAGCCTCCTTGCTCACATGTTCCTCCAGGTAGCAGGACGACGAGGAAGCCGGGTCTGAGGCGATGGAGAAGGTGTTGAGGGCCTTTTGGGCCAGACGACGGCGGGCAGCCCACACTGGTCCAGAATCTGGGTTAAAGGTCATGCTCTGGCCACCACAGATCAGGGTGAAGCTGTAGAGGTCAGGCCGGCCCTTGAAATCATCGCCCTGCCGCACCAGGGCCTGCCGGATGGTGTCGAGGCCACTGAGCACCAGCACAGGTGTGCAGCCAATGCGGATCTCTAGCACGTCCCCATAACGCTGGCTCAGCTGCGACAGTGCCAGGTGTGGGTTCTTCCCCAAGGTGAGCATGTGTCCAAGCAGGGGCCAGCCCCAGGGCCCTGGTGGACTCTTCAGGCCTTTGGGGACCTGAGGCTTCCAGGCCCTCAACACCCAGAATACCAGGCAGAAGATGGTGGAGGCCAGGAGAAGCTCCGTGGCCGAGATGGGGATGGAGAGTCGAAGCACAAAAAACATGATCAGCGTAGAGTTGGCAAGGTAGCTGCTGAAAGGTGAGCAGGAGGGAAAGATCAAGATATCATATGGGGGAATGGGAGGAACCAATGCCCAAATATATTAGCATGCTGGTCAAGGAAAGAGGAAACCTTATCTAGAACTGCTCACTGGGCATGAAGGGAAGGAGGAGGTGGGAGAAGCTGTCGAGCTGCCACCGTGTGCCAAGAATTTCAGCATTCCTGGCCACAGCCTATGGCATAGGCTACACCAAGGCTCAGAGAAGGTAAGTAACTTGCCCAAGGTCACATAGCCAGGAAGTACTGGATCCACATGCCCAACCAAAATTGCTTAATTCCAGAACACCCTCTCTTGTCTGTGTACTAGTTTAAAACTGCTTCCCAGCATCACTCTGTGATTTCCATATACACCTGTACTATTACTTCACATTTTTCTAAAATCAACTTTAAATCTACCCACTTAGCATCATCCCAAACAATATCTGAGTGAAAGTACAGGTTTGATTTTTTCCTCCCTAACATATGTTAAAATAAACACCTAATTGACATGTATCACCTAAATCCCCTTGAGTACTACCCATCACCCTTAGGGAAATACTGCTATTGGGAGAACTAGGCATTATCCACTCCTTTATCCTCATTTCACATTTGGGGAAATTGACCTTCAGAGGGGGCACTGACTTGGCTAAAGTCACCCAGCACTCAGTGACTGAGCCAGGATTCAGACCTCTTAGCAAAAGTTCCCTGGGAGGTTTTCAGCTCCTGACATAGCTACCTCCCTTTGAAGAGTGGTCGCAGAACCCTCAGTTCTCTCCTGCTCAACCCCAGGGTCTAGGGTATCCTGCCAGACCCTGGGATAAGGTGTAAAGGGGACAGGGGATGAGAAGACCACTGCCTAAACTACACTGCTCTCAGCCCCAGCTCTCTGAGTTCAACTGACCCACAGTTTAAAAGCATCTGGAGCCCTGGCCGGTTTGGCTCAGCGGTTAGAGTGTCGGCCTGCGGTCCTGAGAGACCCGGGTTCGGTTCCCGCTAAGGGCATGTACCTCGGTTGCAGTTTGTCCCCGGCCCTGGTTGGTCGTGAGGGTGGCAGCCACTCGATGTGTTCCTTTCGCATCGATGTTTCTCTCTCTCTCTCTGTTCCTCTCTCTCCCTCCCACTCTACCTGAACAAAAAATGGAAAAATGTCCTCGAGTGAGGATAAAAAAAATAATAAAATAAAATAAATAAATAAAAGCATCTGGAGCCCTGGCTGGGTTTGCTCAGTGGTTAGAGTGTTGTCCTGCTAACCAAAAGGTTGCAGGTTTTGATTCCCGGTCAAGGCCACATACCTGGGTTGCGGGTTTGATTCTTGGCTCCAGTTGGGGTTGTGCAGGAGGCAACCAATCAATGTGTCTCATATAGATGTTTCTAAATCAATGGAAAAAATATCCTCGGTTGAGGACTAACAAAAAAATAATAAATAAAAGAGCAGGAGACCAGTAAGATTGAGGATCCCAGTCAGAGAAATCTAGGCTGGGGTTTTTGTTGGGCTCAATTATCAATGAATGAATAGTCTGGGTCTCCTCCATATGCCATTCACTAGAGAGAAGAAAATAAATGGAAGGCTCCCACCAGTCCAGGGCTGCATGAAAACTCCAGACTGGCATGAGGCAAATTAGGAATGGATCTGAACTTAACAGAAGCTGAAACAATACTTTCTAGGCTTGGATTATAAAGGGTGTGCAAATTAATGGACTACTGTCTCCAAGGCATCAGGCTCTGACTGAGACATCTTCCTGGTGCCCTGGACTGGAGGACAGGAGACCCAGTGTTCCAGGCTCCATGGCATGGCCTTGGACTGGTCATTTTACCTTTCTAGGCTCCAGTTATATCACCTGAGAGAGGGAATGGGACATGATCTCCGATTCAGGGTGCCCAGATGGATCTCAGAGAAGAGAAAACTCAGCTCTGGCCTGGGGAACCTCACAGTCTGAGGTTTCCCTACAGGAGAGCCACCTAAGTTGGGGACGTTGGCTATATGATTCCTACTGTCTGTCTAGGGAGGCTTCCTGGAGGAGCTGGATCTCAAAGCACACACAAAAAAGCCTGACTCCCTAAATGAACAGGGGACACTGCTAGACCTTGGTATGCCATGGTGTCCCCTTGTACACATTGGGTGCCCCAAGGATCTCTAGCCTTACTTAGCAAGATGGTAGAAGGACAAGAGAGATATGACTGGTGAGTTTTCAAGGATCGGTGGTCCAGCTCCCCGAAACTGACAGTATCTCACACTGCTCCCCAGCAGAGGCCAGAGAAGTCAGTCAATGGTATAGGAAAGGCCCCTGGGTAGTGCCCAAGACTCCTGCTCAGATCAGCCTCTCTTGTCCAAGTCAGCACATCTTGGCTCTGACAAACCATGCCTTGGGAGGGTAGAGCCAGCCAGAGGTAACTTTTAGATAAGGCAGGAACAGCTGGTAAGAACACAACCAATCCCATCCATTCACCCTGACCACCCAGGGAGAAGCCCTTCATCACACAACCTGAGGAGAGGCTGTGCATGCACCTAGCTTTGGACAACTGTGTCCTTATTCCAGCCAACCAGGTGACTCTGATGGGGAAGGCCCAAGGCATTCAGAGTCAGTGAGGGATAAAGCCTGGGTCCTGGAGTCCAATGAGGGAGAGACAACTGCATCTACAGTTCTGGTTCTAGCTGTGGGATATTGGGCAAGTCCTGCCCTTCCCTCGGCCTCAGTTGCCTCTCTAGGGAGCTGGACTACTCAGTCACTAAGGCCACTGCTAGCCTTCTTTTTTGAGTTGCTAGACCAGTGACCCCCTGAAAAGACCTGGAGGCATCAGATTTTTCCTTCTATTTAAAGGGAAGGGGCAAGCCAGAAGTCCCCTGCACTCACCTGCGGCTGTGAGGAGGTGTCAAATTGAGCTGGAAAGAGTGGTCTTTGGAGCCAGGACCCCAAAGAAGATCAGGGAAGGCTCCAAGGAACTGTCACTTTCAGGGTGAGGGTGAAGGCACAACCAACTTTATAGGCGGCTTGCACGCGTGGCCACGCCCCTTGGCGCTGGGATGGGACTAAGGAAGGGGTGGCTTGAGGGAGGATGGTCGCTCTAGGGTGGATGGGAAGTGGGGGAGGCGGATGCAGTGGGACAGATAAGAACACCCTAAGGGAACACTTCACCCAAGTGCCTGGCACGTAAAGGGCTGAGGACTGGGGACACCTGGGACCCCCAGTTCCAAGGCACCCCATGGACAGCGCAGAGGCCAGTTGAGGCGGGGGTTTGTAAGGAGTCCCAGGATAGCCCGAAAACAGGGTATGGGGGCGGGGCTGCTACCTCGGGTACGTGAACGCCTCACCCTCATTTTTGCACCACTGGACGTGCAAGTGCCTCCCCCTCACTACTAGCGGACCCAAGTCAGGCAGGCAGGGGCGGGGCTGCCGGGTGGTGACCTCCTTTCCCCGGGTTACTGTCCTGGCTCGCGTGAGAAGAGCGGCGACCCCTGCCCCCTCGGAGGTCACCGGGCCCGGAAGGCCAGCGGCGCCGATGGGCTGCTCCCCCCCCTCCGCCCCCCCAGCCCCTAGAGCCCCAGCAACTAGCAAAAAAGTCCGCGCTCCCTGACCAGGAAATGGGAATAGAGAATGTGCACTCTCCCGGAGCGAGCGCTCACTAGCGGTTCGGTGCCGCCTCTGGGGCCCTTTGGAATGCTGCAAACAGGGCTACCTCCAGCCGGGACCCACCAGCCCTCCAGGTCTTCTCTAGGGTCCCGGGGTTGCTAGTGCTTTGGCCCGACAGAAAAACGGTTGGTGAGGGGGACCGCGCGGCCAGCTCCCGGTGGGTGAGAAAAGGGTAAAGAGAGGCCCTCGGGCAGGAAAGGGGGTCAGGTAATGAGGAGGGGGCGCCAGACACAGACGCCTCCCCAGACTAGCGTGCTAGAGTCTGGAACCTCCCTCCAGGGGCAGAGGTCACGGGGCCCATCCCCGCCCGGCTTGGCACGGACGGACGAGGTGCGCTGCAGTTGCGTGAGAAGGCCCGGGAGTCCCGCGCATCCACCCAGCCGCCCAACGTCCCGGCCCTGGTGGGGTCTAGGCATAGTCACGCGAGGGTGGGAGGGGACTTGGGGCGGGGTTCTTAAAGGGCCAGTCTCTAGCGAAGCAAGAGGATGGAGGGAGAGGAGAGGCAGAGCCTGGCGGGTGTGCTATTGGATGGAGGCTGCAAGGGCCCAGGTTTGCGTGCGGAGCTGGGCTTTTGTTGAGAGCTGAGAGCGGGCGCCTGCGTGCGAGCATATTTTTGGCCCACACCTGCAGCAGAACACGCAGCCCCAGCCTGGCTCGCCTGGCTGGCTGCCTCCGAAGCTGTACTCGGCCCCTGCCGAATCCTCCCTATGTAGAATGCCAAGGCAGGAAAAGACGGATTTGTGTGTCTAGCTCAGTATGTCCCCAACTAACCACAACACCTGTCCCCACGCCGCGTTCCCCGACCCCATGAATGGCACCGCCATCTCTGAGCCGGCCCAGGCCAGAAAACAGTCTCATCCTGACCCCTGACCTCCCGCTCAGTCAGATGCCACCTCATGCGTTGCGCAAACATTTACCAAACACCTACTATGAGCCAGGCACTGTTCTGGAAGCTGGCGATTGATATGCAAGTGAACAAACTGACAACCTCCTGCTCACATGGAATTTACATTCTATTTTGGTTGCAGGGCAGGGGTTGGGGGGGGGGGGGGGGGGGGGGGGTATTTGGGAGACACAGAGAATGTCAGAGGATGAAGTGCTACAGAGAAAAACAAAGCAGAGAAGGGGTAGGAATCATGTTGCTGCAGACTGCAATTTTAAATAGGCGGTCAGGGAAGTCCTCACAGGGAAAATGACACTGAGCAGAGGTAGGAGTGTGGAATCAAGAATCAAGGTGCACAGATACCTGGAGAAGAGTGCACCTGGCAGAGGGAACAGCAAGTTCAAAGGCCCTGCCCAGTGGTTTTTGAGGGAGGGGCACTGGAAATGTGCAGCGGTCTTGTGACTGGGGAATTCTGCTGAAATCTAGTACCCCCAGGGAATGCGATGCTCACGGGGACATTTCTGCCCCAGGTGCAGGGAACACCCTATTGAAATGGAGATATTGTGAGGTCTGAGTCAATGAAGGTCACTCTGGCTGCTTCTCTGAGAATATACAAGGATATATTTCTCTATATCCGTCCAGCCCCACTGCCATATCCTCGTCTAAGCCTTCATCATTGCTCCTTAGAGTACAGCCTCCAAACCTAGTTCCCATTTGTCTTTTACTCCCTCCAGTTCTTTCACCTCCCTGTCACATATAAAGTGGTCTTTTAAAAAATCTTTTTATTTTATAATATTTTTTCTTTATTGATTTTAGAGACAGGAAGAGAGAGGGAGAGATAGAAACATTGATGAGAGAGAACATAGATTGGCCACCTCCTGCATGCCCCCCACTGGGGATTGGGCCAACAACCTGGGCATGTGCCCTGACCCGGAATCGAACTGGTGACCTCTTGGTGCACGGATCGATGTTCAACCAGCGAGCCACACCGACCAGGCCAAAGTGGTCTTTTCAAAAATGCAAAATCTCATTCTGTCACCACCTTGCCCCTTCATTAGTTTCCATTTGAATACAAAATAGAATCTTCAGCAGAACCTACCAGGCCTATCTGCCTCTACTTCTAATCTCCTCTAGTTTAAGTCTCAGCTAAAACATCACTTCCTCTGGGAAGCTCCCCTGAATCCACTCCATAGCAAGTTAGGTGTCTCCTGGTCTGTTTCCAGCACTTCTCCATGGTAATTCTCAGAACACTTGACCCTTGTTATGACCCCAACCCAACCTGTCACTCTTTCCTCTATGCCTGAGCACAGAAAACCAACCTGTGGGTAATGGATCTGATAAGCCAAATCCTTGAAAGATATTAATAACTGGTAAAGGAGTTAGATTCAACTGTATTATGGATGGGGCACATGACCAAGGTGATGTTGCGCTCAAAGTACCGATGCTATAATGGTGGAATTTAGGTAACAGAACAGACAGGAGACAAGCCTATTGCTGAGCTTCCAATTCATCTGGCATTGTTTTGTTCACCCCATCCTCTATATCTCTGGCTCATCCCAAAGAGCTTCATGATACCCAAGAGAGGTCTGTCCTTCGATCCCAGTTGGAGATAGAGCCACAGAGGGAGAAAGAACCTGTGTGGGAGCTGTGGCAAGGAAGTGGGGAGCAAAGCACTCCCAGATCCCTCATTCTGTTCTGCATCCCAATCTGTCCTTCAACTCCCCAGACTCACCAATGCCCAAGCTCTAGAGAATCATGGCAACCTGCTCATCAGGGCTGGAAGACCACCTGCTGAGGCTCCTGACCAGGGGTCCAGAAAAACGCTTTTTTTGATAGAAGAGGCATTGCTTTGCTCGCATTTTATAAGGGGCTCTTGACCCCAAAGAAATTCATTAACTAGTTCAGCCAATTCCTTCCCCACTTCTCAGCTGGAGAGAGTGATACTAGAAGGAGAAGGCCAAACAACACATGGCAAATCAAAGAAGAGTCTAGCCCCTTGCTTCCAGGCCAGGGCTCTTCCCATCATGATTTATTGTCCCAAAGTACCAGCAAAGCCCAAGGAGGCCAAAGGAGGACAGCCTCAGCCCCTGGGTCAGGGCTATTATCCCCCCATACTCCTGGACAAAACTCTGGTACAATGAGGGTAAAGGGAGGTGTTGCGCTTCTAACCATATCCTGTCTCCACAGAACAGCTCTCCAGATGGAGGAGTTGCTCAGGAGCACTGGGCAAAGAAAGAGGAAGACAGGCAGGAGTTTAGAGAACCTTGACCAGGCGCTGAACAGCCAATCCTGGGTCAAAGTTTGCATGCCTTTGCGTGAGAAGCTCTTTGGCTGATTTGCTAGCGATCAATGCCAGGAAAACAGAGGCAGGAGACAGTGGGGAGCAGAGAGGACTCTGGGTTGGAGGCATAGAGACCACTAAGGGTCTTGGCCCAGCAGAGTGATCCAGCTTAGAATCTTCAGTCAGCCCTGTTGAGGGCTAGGTGGCAGGGGTAATGGGGAGAGAGCAAGACCCACAACAAACCTCTTCTGCATGGTGGAGGCAAGGACCCACACCCCAAACATCCTATGCTGAATCTGGAAATGCTATAGGAGCTGTGAGAAGCTGGGGGGTGGGGGGCAGGTAAAGGGACTCTGAGAGAGTGGGTGGCTGGAGAAGAGTCATGGAGTATGAAGAATATAGGAAGGGCATTTCTGGCAAGAGGACAGGATATAACAAGAACAAAGCATGGGACGGGGAGGTTGGCGTGAAGCTGTTTGAGAAGAGTAGTTTTAGTGGATGTGTAGAATTAGGGCTTGCTTCCCAATGTGTCTTTGCCCCACCTAGTCACCCTTCATACCACTTGCCATCTGAACCCCGAACGTCTCCCCCCTCCTACCTATGCCCCAAGAGCCAAAGAGATTTAGTTTGCAGGATCCAGGGCTCAGATGGGTCAGTCCCCTACCCCACCCCCATCTCCCTGGTTCTTGGCTGCTATAGTTAGGGTGACAATATTTTCCCAGGATAGACGTGGTCTAAGCCTGTTGTCCTGGTATAAATATTAAAAGTACCCTCTTTCATTTTTAAGAGTCCTGTCTTGAACAATAAATTATATGATCAAGCCAGTCATAGTGGACATCTGAGGGGTCTTGTGTGCCCATTCTCTCTTCTTCAGGAAATACCACTTCTGTTCTTTACCCTACCCCTACTCTTAGCCAGTAGTTTTGGTGGAGCTGACCACACCCCAGGCTATCAGAGTGGTGCATGACCCGGGCCAGACCAATGAGAACCCAAAAAAGGTTTTTCTGAAGTCGTTGGAAAAGAGTGGTTCTCTTTCTGCCAGGGTGACTAAGCTAATTTTAAAATAAGCCTGGGCCTACCAATAGCCATTTTTAAAGAAAGCCTACTTTAGAATGCTGCCCATTCAGGGGAAAGTCATTGAGCATCTAGATCCAATTATTTCTGAAGCCAATGAAGTTCACCCACAGAGCATATCTATTATGTGAATCAATACCACCACCATCACCCTCTTTGCCTCCTTTCCCTCTTTTCCTTCTTTATTTTTTCTCTTTCTCTTTTTCCTCTTCCTCTTCTAGTAGGAGTTGGATTTGGGGAGTTGCAACTGAAAGAATTATAACCAAAACATACAGACCAGAGAGGCTTTCCCCATAGTGCTCTCTGAAAAAGCCCCAAGAAGGCCTGAACAGGTTGGACAGAGGCCTAAGGAAGTTACTTTTGTCCAATGGCTTCCCACTGGTCTACCAAAAATGCCACCATTGGCACCACTGTATGAGGCTAATTTTATTTCCAGAAGACCCCATGGTGGTTTTGGGGAGTTGTTGGCTGGTGATTGCCTGGAGAGAACTCATGTATGAAGCAGAGATTATCAGATGAGACTGTGCCACCTCATTGTCCTGGGAGGAAAGCTCAACCCACTGTCTACTGGGGGCTGCTTGGATGGGGGACATCCAGAAAGAAAGCAGCTGTCGCCAAGTTCCTGGTGCCTCATTTGCTTTTCTAGCTCCTAGCTGAAGAAGAGATACCATCCCTTCGCCAAGTTTAAGATGGGCCAAGTCGAAGTTTTCAGAAGGAAGTTTATGAGAAATCTCAGAGGAAACAGTCCTCATAATAACCTACGAGGCCCTTCCAAATGTGGCTCCCATGACCTCTCTGACCTTCTTGCCTGTTACTTTCCCTTCCCCAGGCTCACTCTTCTCCAAGCACAAATGCCTCCTTGATGTTCCGGACACACTCCAGGCAGATCCCTGCCTGTATCTGTCAGGGTCGGTCCCTGAAGGAAACATAAGGCTTCCTCAAACTGGGTTAATAAAGAGAGTTTAATAAAGGAACAATTTATAAAGGTTATCAGAAAGGTTTAGAAAAACCAATAGGGGACAATGCAGCACCCCAGGGTTAGCAACAGCAGGGCTAGAAGTGGCGAGAGGAAAGGGCAGAAAGCAGAACCCAGAGAAGGTGGCCATGGAGAGGCTATAGTGAGGAGCTGTGGCCTTCAGTAGAGAGTTGCAGCTACACGAAGACCCTACAGGGAGAGAGCAGAGCCTACTATGACCTCACTCTATTCATGCCCTCTGATGTCCTGCTGGTGCCTTCTATGGACTGAACCTAACTGGAAGCCAGAGAGTAAGGGGCCCATTACTATAGCCCAAAGAAGTCAGTCCTCCAGGACTGAGAGTAGAGAGGGGTAGAGAGTGAGTCTGGAGAGGCAAGTAAAAGACATCTAGCATTCTGCCTCAGGGCATTTGCATTTGCTCTTCCCTCCACCTGAAAACTCTCTATTCCCAAATCCTCCTGTCTTACTTCCTCAAATAGTACCTTTCCAATATGGCCATCCTATGTAAAACTGTTACCTTGACTCATAGTCTCTCTCCCTTTTCTCGACTCGATTTAAACAATTTTTTCCTTTATTGATTTTACAGAGAGAGGAAGGAAAAGGGAGAGAGAGCCCTGGCCGGTTTGGCTCAGCGGTTAGAGCGTCGGCCTGCGGTCCAGAGAGACCCGGGTTCGGTTTCCACTAAGGGCGCGTGCCTCAGTTGCAGTTTGTCCCCGGCCCTGGTCGGTCGTGCAGGTGGCAGCCACTCGATGTGTCCCTTTTGCGTCGATGTTTCTCTCTCTCTCTCTCTCTCTCTCCCTCCCGCTCTACCTGAACAAAAAATGGAAAAATGTCCTCTGGTGAGGAAGATAAAAAAAAAAAAAAGAAAATCATGAAAAAAAAAAAAAGAAAAGAAAAGGGAGAGACAGAGAAACATCCATGAGAGAGAACATCAACTGGCTGCCTCTTGCATGCTCCCCACTGGGGATCTGGCCCACAACCCAGGCATGTGATGTGACCGGGAATCAAACCGGCGACCTGTTGGTGCATGAGTCAATGCTCAACCACTAAGCCACACCGGCCAGACTCAACTTGATTTTTATTTGTAGCACTTACAAACTCCAAACATACTATGTATTTCACTTTTTTACATTGTGTATGGTCTCTATACCTCAACTAGAATGTAAGCTCCAGCAGAGCAGAGACTTATGTGTTTTGATCAATCTTTTATCAATAGCAAACTGGCACATTGTGGATGCTAAATAAATATTTGTTAAATAAATTCATGGAATCATGTCAAATCCCCAAATAGGAAAATACACTAGGTTTGACATGGCAGAGGCTTGGTGAAATTATAGGTCCAAGTTGGTCAGCTGAATGGATCCCCACAGCCCAGATATTTTCTTCAGCACTAGGTGAGTATCAGTCATTTTGCTGCCAGAAGACAGACATGGTCCTGCCTAAAGAAACTCACCTCAGCCTGGCCCAGCTTAGGCATCCTACCTTCTGCCACCTTCACTTCTGTCCAGGGCTACCTTCTGAGCTAGGCCTCATTGCTGAACACATGGTCATGATTACCAGAAGTTCCAACATCTTCCCATGTCAAAGCCTCCTGGTTTCTCTCAACAGGTCACAGGTCTTCTCTCCACCGCCTGGCCCCACCACAATAATCAGCAAACAGTAGGTTTTGTAACTGCTCTCAGCAGAGAGGGCTCTGCAGGATTGGGACAGAAGACCTCCATGGACTGGTAGGTGGGAAGGACTGTAAGGATACAGACGCTGGCCCTGGTTGGTTTGGCTCAGCGGTTAGGGCGTTGGCCAGCAGACCAGAGAGTCACGAGTTTGATTCCAGTCAAGGGCACGTACCTCTGTTGTGGTTTGGTTCCTGGCCCTGGTGGGGTCATGTGGGAGGCAACCAATTGATGTGTCTCTCTCACATCAATGTTTCTCTCTCTCTCTCTCTCTCTCTCTCTCTCTCTCTCCCTCCCTCTCTCCCTCCCTCCCTCTTCCCCCCTTCCCCCTCCCTCCCTCCCACTCTATCTGGAGATAAATGGAAAAATATCCTTGGATGAGGATTTAAAAATAAATAAACAAAAAAGATACAGACGCTGGAACACTGCCCAGAGAAGGGAGAGGAGTAGCCCAGAGGTTCTGGGCTGGCTCTAGATAGAGAGCAGTGGAAATGAAGGTAGAAATTCTTTTTTTTCTCTCTCTCTTTTTTTCTTCAATTGTATCAAATGTGATTTAGACCTATATTATATATCAGAACTTGACTAATTCTGCTCAGGTTGGCAGTGCCTTTGTGCTGGGGAAATGTTTGCCAGGCCCGTGCACTGTGGAAGCTGGCCTGCAGAGGAACACTGACCTCCTGAAAGGCATGCTCAGGGCCACGCTGATGTTCCAAGTTAGAGATGCCCTTTTATACACTAAACACAGAGGTTTGCTGATAGTTAATGTTTTTGTCCTCTCATCAAATCAAGGTCTCTGCGGAACCTATTTTGTCAGCCAAATGCTCCTGGATGTGCTTCCCTGGCCTCTGCTAAGGAGGTGGTGTCATTCAGACCTATCAGGGCACATCCTGGCTGTCTCACCAACCAGTGCTGGGACACTCAACATACTTAGGGACCCTCTCCCAACTGCTCCACCACTTGTAGACCCCTAATAGCCATCCCCGCACCTTGATTTTTCTTTCTTCCCAACACTCTCCCCTTCTTCAATTTTGTCCAGGTATCCTCCATATTCCTTTCCAGAGCTATGTGCTTTGTGGGGAGGTTGACCCCAAACCCCAGCCTCAGGCAGTGGGTCCTGGCTGGTCTGAAAGTCATTGTGGCTTCAGTTACCTTGTTGATGTTTGGATTAAACCTGGATCTGTGACATGATCTGGCCAATGATATGGCCCGGCCAGTGTCGCTCAGTGCATTGAGCGTCATCATGTGGACTGAGAGGTCCCAGCTGGATTCCCGGTCAGGGCACATCCCCGGTAGGGGGCTCATTCACCAGTAGGGGGTGTGCAGGAGGCAGCCGATCGATGTTTCTATCTCTGTCTCCCTTCCTCTCTCTCTAAAAAATCAATAAAAACATATTTTAAAAAAAAAGATATGTAGGAGAAATCTGGTGAGATAGCTTTTAGGAAAGGTTTCCTCACTCTTAAAAAGGATATATGGCAAGAGATGTACCCTTGTCCCTCTGGCCCTTGTCATGTCTGGATGTGATGGCCAAAACTGCAATATCTATAAGGGAGCCAGCCTGGGAGAAAGGCTAACCTTCCAACAATAGTGGAGCTGAAATTTGCAAAGAGTCAGTTTATTTTATTCAGTGTCCTTGCAAGAAACAGGACCCTTTCAAACTGGTCATTGAAGAGAGTTTAATAAGGGGATTATTTACAATGATGTGGGCAGGGTATAGAGAAACCAAGACAGAATAGTGTGGTACCACATGACTAGTAACAGAGAGGAGCCCTCGCTTGTCTTGGGCTTGAAGGGGCAAGAGGAAGAAACTATTCCTGGAACTCCGAGAGATAGAGACTGTAAGGAGAGAAGAGTTGCGTGCAGGAGCTGTGGCCTACAATGGTGACTTTGCAGGGAGGGTCTAGAGAAAAACATACCCCACCCTCACTCTCCTCCCCTACTTCCATCTCATGCCAATGCCTTCCATTGACTGAACCCAACAAGAAGGCAGAGGATGGGAGAGCCCCTTGCCACAGTTTGCAGAGGTCAGCCTCTCAGTGCACAGAACAGGCCAGAGAAGCAGGGGGAGTAGATCTAAAGGTCAAAGAGGATTTTCAGCACAATCTGGGTCAGCAATTACCTCATCCATCTGTCTGCCTGCTGGTTGTACATCTCTTCCATGAAAGCAAGGCCTGCTTTACAGCTATAAGGTTCCTCCTAGAACAGTGTCTGGCAGCATAATTTATGCTCTGAGACTATGGTTGAACATCTACTATGTAACTGGCACTGTAGTAAAAATTGAGTGAATGGGAACATAGTTTGTCTCAAGTTGTTCATAGTCTAGAAGAGAAAATGAAACCAAAGCTTCTCCCATTCAGTAGGTTGTCTTTTCATTTTGTTGATTTTGTTTGCTGTAGTTTGATTTTGTTGCTTATTTTTTCTATTTTTCCCTTGCATAAGCAGACATATGCAAATATATATATAACTAAGAGCAATGTCAAAGCAATTTTCTATAAAACTTAGCCTAACTTCAAACCTTGACTTTCATTATTGAGTGAGCTGAACCCAATGGAGGTACAGATAGAAAGTAGCTGCCCTGTCCCCCAATCTGTGGTCTTCAAACATGCTCTGCATCGCTGTCAGATTCCCGACCTTGCCCCTTGACACTGGCATGGGTTGAACCCATCGCTCTAATTTTCAGGAATTAAAGCCCAGTCCAGTCTAAATCAAAACGGCCTTTTCACATCTATGTTAAGGTTTGTCCCCAGACTCTTCTCAGACCTGACTATGTAGGAAAGGGAGAGGCATGCTCTATTTCTGCAATACTTTTTTTCCCTGCCCTGCTGGTCTCTCAACCAGGGAGGGGCAAGGGGAGAGTGTTGGAAGAGGAGCCAATCTCTTTTTATTTGGCTGATGCTATTTATCTTCTCTCGGCTAAAGTTGCCCTCCAGTGTAGTGGATGTCCCAGTGCTGACTTTTCATTGAGTGCCAACAGTGTCCTCCACATCACACGGTTCCTAAAGTAGCTGCTGGACTTGAGTTGCCCTCTTGCTTGCCCCCAGCTCATTCCCACAGGGTCTTCCCTAAAGCCTGTCACTGCTGGTGTCCCCTTCCCTCTTCATTGAAGTCTCCTTTACACAGCTGAAGTCCAGTTCCCTTCAGCATGTCCACCCGGCCCTCAGGAGACTCACATTCCGATAAGGTATCTAGCTCTGGCCATGCAGGCTTCCCTCTGCTATGCTCACTTTTACATGCTGTTGTGCTGCCTCTGTGTCCACATATTTCCCCTAGATCCAGGGATATGTGTCAAGTAGGAGCATAGCATAGTGTCTAGAGCACAATCTTCTAAAGGTTGGAGTCCCAACTCTAACATACTGCTAACACAACTTCTTTGTGCCATTACCTCATTTAATATGATAATAGTATTAATTTCTATCCCATAGGATTACTGAGAATATTTTTTGTTAATATGTATAAAACTCTTAGAACAATGTCAGCACCCACAAGTATCCAGCACTATAAAGTGGCTTCTAAATACACCCATACCACAGTATCCCACCCACCTGAACTCAGGGCTGGGGAGTCCCCTTCTAGCAGACATCCTACTCTTAAAATTTCAGTCTCCTGGGACTCCCTGCACTTGGCTTTGTGAGATGGGGAGGTTCTTCCTTCCTTCCCCAGGGGGAGGAGAGAACTGCTATGGGACTCCTTACCCAGCAACTGCGCTTCACCTTAAAGCTTCCTTTCATGCAATGAAAACCCACATACCTTTTTTTTTATCCTCACCCGAGGACATTTTTCCATTTTTTGTTGAGAAAGAACGGGAGGGAGAGAGAGGAAGAGAGAGAGAGAGAGAAACATCGATGTGAAGGGACACATCGAGTGGCTGCCACCCGCACGACCAACCAGGGCCGGGGACAAACTGCAACCAAGGTACATGCCCTTAGCGGGAACCAAACCCGGGTCTCTCTGTACCGCAGGTCGACGCTCCAACCGCTGAGCCAAACCGGCCAGGGCTTTTTTTTTTTTTTCATCCTCACCCGAGGACATTTTTCCATTTTTTGTTCAGGTAGAGTGGGAGGGAGAGAGAGGAACAGAGAAAGAGAGAGAAACATTGATGTGAAAGGAACACATCGAGTGGCTGCCACCCACACAACCGACCAGGGTCGGGGACAAACTGCAGCCGAGGTACGCGCCCCTAGCTGGAACCGAACCCGGGTCTCTCTGGACCGCAGGCCGACGCTCTAACCGCTGAACCAAACCAGCCAGGGCAAAACCCACATACCTTCACAGAGGTTCATGGAGAGCTGGCATTTGTCATGCCTACTCTCTCCTCTCTGTATAGATATACAGATAGATGTACATTTTAAAGCAGGCCCTTTAAAACTAAGTTGCAGCCCTGGTCAGTTTGGCTCATCAGTTAGAGCGTTGGCTTGCAGACCAGAGAGTCCCGGGTTCAGTTCCCACTAGGGGCACGTACCAAACTCAATCAATCAATCAATCAATCAAAGTTGCAGAAATCATGTTATCTTCAAACACCACAGCATTGATCTCCTAAGAATATCTCTTAAAATATTATCCCACATAACCATGATAATATGTTCACACTGAAGAACATTCATTCCATAATATATCATCTCCAGTCTTAGTTCATGTGTCTTCAATTGTTACCAAATGTCTTTTGTAGCTTAAAAAATATTTTTAAATTCAGGGTCCAATCAAAGTTTTCATATTGCATTTGGTTATGTCTCTTTAGTCTCTTTGCTTAGAAAATTGAAGAGTGGGCCCGGCCAGCATGGCTCAGTGCTCGAGCATCGACCCATGCACCAAGAGTTGGCCAGTTCAATTTCCAGCCAGGGCACATGCCCAGGTTTCAGGCTCAGTACCCAGTGGGGGGCATGCAGGAGGTAGCCAATCAGTGTTCTCTCTCATAAATGTTTCTATCCTCACCCAAGGACATTTTTGCATTTATCTTCAGATAGAGTGGGAGGGAGAGAGGGGGAAAGAGCGAGAGAGAGAAACATCGATGTGAGAGAGATACATTGACTGGTTGCCACCCACATGACTCTCATTGGGGCCGGGGACAAACTGCATCTGAGGTACGTGCCCTTAGTAGGAGCCAAACCCAGGACTCTCTGGTCCATGGGCCAACGCTCTACCACTCAGCCAAACCAGCCAGGGCTCATCAATGTTTCTATCTCTCGCTCCCTCTCCCTTCCTCTCTCTAAAAAAATCAATAAAGAAAAAATTTTTAAACAAAATTGAAGAGTGTGAACTAGTTGCCATGAGGAAAAGCCTACAGCATGGATTTTCTTCATTCACTTTTACCATTTCTTACCAGGAGGAAGGAGGGTGAGGAGCCTCTCTTTAGAATGCAAAATCTTATTCATTTCTTGGTTTAAATTAAGGACTTGGGCTGAAATTCAGAGGTGGCTGGAACACTCTTGTTCCTTATCTGTTTTTGCAGGTGGTTGGAAGGGTACTACAGAGCACCCTTCTGAAGAGGAGCAGTGAGCCTCCTGACTAGTCTGGACTTAGTGCCCAGGCAGGGTCCTTTACCATGGGCACAGTGGAGAGAAGGCTGGACTAGTCCAGAGGCCTCTCACTCGTAGCACCCTGCCTTGACCTTGAGAAAAATAATCTCCCTGACCCTGGACCCTGAAAGGAGCTGGACATTCCTCCCCAGAGACACCACACCTATCCCTGAAGAGCTGCCCCTGGGACTGGGTAATAGGTGGAGCTGAGGGATCACGGCCCAAGACAAAGGGCTGATCCTTCCAACTTTATTCACACTGGCATGGGTTGCTATCAGGTGACCAGGACAGCTGGGTCAACATCAGTGTTTATAAAAGGCAACCCCACCTGGAGCCACAAGTTGTACCAGCCCCCACAACCCTACTGATCTCAAGCACCAGACTCCACAGGTACCTTTCTTGAGCCCATTTCCCAGTCTCCGGGACGCCCCGCTCCCATTATATATCTTGGGAAGAGTGGAGAAGGAGGGATGGGGGGGAATCTCGGTTAGGTGTAGAAGGCCTGGGTTCTAGTCCTTGCTGCCTAGCTCTCGACCCCAGTTTCTCCATTTTTTAAATAAGCAGCTTAGACTGGGCCATCTCTAAGGACCCTTAGTGCAATTGGAGTGGATCTGGCTGCAGCTCAACCTCAGCTGCCAAGACAAGAGTACGGGCATATTGGGAGGAGGTGACCTTCTTCATCTTTTTTTAAAAAATTTTTTTAGCTACTTCCTGCTGAAGGAGGCATTGGGGTCACAGGGGGATGGACTTTGACAGTAGTCAGCTGGAATGAGGTACTAGCCTCCTGGAACTTTACATAAAAGTTGGTATTGGACAGACGATTGAAGGAACATCATCTCATCAATGGACTGGTTGGTAAAGGCCCAAACTCGGTACTGGAGAAATGAAGAAAATTGGTATAAGTTGGACTCGCACCCTCCAGGCTCCAGTGTAGGGGAGGCAGTTTGAAAGGCACCAGAGACATACAGGGAAGAACTGAGTTATCTGGTATTGTGGCGAGGGCTGTAGGGCAGCTTTCTCCTGGACAGATGTGCTGTCAGAGGCCTTTGTTCCTTTGGTGAGCCCTTCCCTGGGGTGGCAGACAGCCATCATATCTGGGCCTCTAGCAACCTGGTTCACACTGTTTGCCCTGCCCTGGTGATTTTCATCTTTTTTTTTTAAATTAATTTTTAAAAACTTATTTATGCATTTATTTATTTTTATTCCTCACCTGAGGATACTTTTCTATTTATCATCAGATAGAGTGGGAGGGAGGGAGGGAGAGAGAGACACAGAGAGAAACTTCGACCCACCCAGGGTCGGAATGAACTGCAACTGAGGTACATGGCTGGTATCAAACCCACAACTCATTGGTGTGCGGGCCATCGCTCTAACTGCTGAGCCAAACCGGCCAGGGCTTAAAACTTATTTTTATTGTTGAATATATTACAGATGCCCCCCCCCTTTTCCCCATTCATCCCCTCCTCCCCACTCCCACCCCCTTCCAGCCTTCCCAACTCTGTTGTCTGTGTCCATTGGTTATGCATATGTGCCTATAAGTTTTTTGGTTTATCTCTTCCTGCCACTCCTCCCCACTTCCCTTTGAGGTTCCTCAGTCTAACAAACAACTTGTATTTCTTAATACCTTCACCTTTTTGGTCCATCCCCTAACCCCCTTGGTATCCATGAATCTGCATCTGTTTTGCTTGTTCATTTTGTTTGTAGATTTAATCATTGATAGATATGTATTTATTGCCATTTTTTTAATCCTCACCTGAGGACATTTTTGCACTTATCTTCAGATAGAGCAGGAGGGAGAAAAGGAGGAAGAGAGAGAGAGAGAGAGAGAGAGAGAGAGAGAGAAACATTAATGGGAGAGAGGCACATCGACTGGTTGCCACCCACACAACCCCAACCAGGGCCGAGGACAAACTGCAACCGAGGTATGTGCCCTTAGCGGTAACCAAACCCAGGTTCCTCTGGTCCACGGGCCGACGCTTTAACCGCTGAACCAAACCGGCCAGGGCTTTATTGCCATTTTATTGTTCATATTTCTTATATTTTTCTTCAAGAAGACCCTCCCACATTTCATATAATACTAGTTTGGTGGTGATGAACTCCTTTAGCTTTTTTCTGTCTGAAAAACTCTTTATACGACTATCAAATCTAAATGAGAGCTTTGCAGGATAGAGTAATCTTGGTTGTAGGCCTGTTTTTCATCACTTTGAATATTTCTTGCCATTCCCTTCTGGCCTGCAAAATTTCTTTTGAAAAATTGTCAGTCTTATGGGAACTCCTTTGTAGGTAACTGCTTTTCTCTTGCTGCTTTTAAGATTCTCTTTTTGTCTTTAACCATTTGCATTTTGATGATGATGTATCTTGGTGTGGGCCTCTTTGGGTTTCATCTTGTTTGGGACTCTCTGTGGTTCCTGGACTTGTATGTGTTTCCTTCACCAAGTTAGGGAACTTTTTTGTCATTATTTTTTCAAACAGGTTTCCAATTTCTTGCTCTCTCTTCTCCTTTTGGCACCCCCATGATGCAAATGTTGGTATGCCTGAAGTTGTCCCAGAGGCTCCTTACACTGTCCTCATTCTTTTGGATTCTTTTTTCTTGTTGCTGTTCTGATTGGGTGTTTTTTTCCCCCCTATATTCCAAATCAGTGGTTTGTTTCTTGGCTTCACCTACTCTACTACTGATTCCCTGTAAATTATTATTTATTTATTTATATATTTTTATTTTTCGGTACGTGCCCCAAGTGGGAACCAAACCCGGGACTCTCTGGTCCGCAGGCTGACGCTCCAACCGCTGAGCCAAACTGTCTAGGGCCCCTGTAAATTATTCTTTATTTCAGTTAGTGCATTCTTCATTTCTGACTGGTCCTTTTTTATGCTCTTGAGGTCCTCACTAAGTTCTTTTGAACTCTGTATCTGTTAGATGGCTTATCTCTGTTTTGTTGAGTTTTTTTTCCTGGAGTTTTGTTCTGTTCTTTAATTTGGGACATTTCTTTGTCTCTTCATTTTGGCTGACTCACTGTGCTTGTCTCTATGTATTAGGTAGAGTTGCTATGTCTCCTAGGCTTTATAGGGTAGCTTATGATAGGTGTCCTGTCGGGTCCAGTGGCACCCCCGCTGAGCCCTTGAGGTGCACCCTTGTGTGGACTGTCCATCCCTCTGTTGTAATTGAGTCTTGATGTTGGCACATCATTGGGAGGGATTTTCTCAGGCTGATCAGCTGCAAGGACTGGCTGTGCCCACTGACCACTGGCCTCTGACTACCCTAGAGGACCAGCTGTGCAGGGGCCCAACACACAGAGCAAGAGTTACTTCAGCAGGGCTCTGGTACCCACTGAGTCCACTCCTTGAGTGTGTTGCTTGTGGAGGTGGTTGGGTGGTGGTACTTTGACGTGGTCTGAAGCTGTCCACTGGGTGTGCTGGCTCTGGAGTAAGGTCAGCCACTGCCTGTGTTCTACCCGGGGACACCAGGCATAAGCTACAAAGTGACTGCAGATGGCTGCTTCTTGTGCTGGGCTTGGAGCTGCCCAGGCAAGACCAAGCTGTGAATCAAGGCCATATGCTGCTTGTGTCGGGCCTGGTGTTACTTACTTAGAGGTATGGGGCTTGCTGAGGCCAGATGCTACTTTTTTTAGAGAATTTAGGAACATCTGAAGCAGGAGCTAAAACAGGCCAATCTTGTCATAAAGCCATTGGAAACAGCTTGGGTGGACCTGAAAATTGGGTTGGGCAGGGCCTAGAGAATCACAAGGGTGGAGCAAACAGTGTGAGCCAGATTGCTGGAGTCCCAGAAAGGGTGTCTGTCTGCCGCTCTGTGGGGGGGAAGGGCTCACCAAAGGAACAACGGCCTCCACCAGCATGTCTGTCCAAGGGAAAATTGCTTCTCCAGCTCTCACCCCAATGCCAAACAACTCATTTCTTCATTGTATGTCCCTGGTGCCTTTCAAGCTGCCTCCCCAACTCTGTAATCTGGAGGGAGCAGGTCAGAGTAAGTCCATGGGAGAGCCCTTTGAGAGGAACTGCTTGGGGCTCCAGCAGCCTCAGCCTCCCTCAGCCTCAGTTCCCGCTGTTTTTACAGCCAGAAGTTATGGGGACTTCTCTTCCTGGCACTGGAACCCTGAGCTGGGGGGCCCAGTGTGGGACAGGGACCCCTCACTCCTCAGGGTAGACCTTCACAGCCAAAATATCCTCCTGATTTTTACCTGCCACACGTGGGTGCCTTCTGCGCCTCCACCCCTCCTACCAGTCTCAATGTGGCTTTTTTTTCTTTTCCTCACCCAAGGACATTTTTCCACTTTCTGTTCAGATAGAGTGGGAGGGAGAGAGAGGAAGAGAGAGAAACATTGACGTGAAAGGGACACATCGAGTGGCTGCCACCCACACGACCCCAATCAGGGCCAGGGACAAACTGCAACCGAGATACGCGCACTTAACAGGAACCGAACCTGGGTCTCTCTGGACCGTAGGCTGATGCCCCAACCGCTGAGCCAAACCGGCCAGGGCTCGATGTGGCTTCTTTAATTTCGTAGTTGTAGGACTTCCATTCAGCTTGATTTCAGGCAGTCCTGAATGATGGTTGTTCTGTAGTTTAGTTGAAATTTGATGTGGTTGTGGAAGGAGGCAAGTAACTGCGGTTACCTACACCACCATATTGATTGGAAGTTTTGACCTTTTTGATCTTGATAAAGACACTCTGGGAGAGGGGCATTACAAGCCATTTGCATATACCATGGGACCTTGGCCCCTCAAGTGTTGCTGGATGGGAAAAGCTCTCTATTCCCTAGATATGATGGCGTATCAGCAGGAAGCCAGCACTAGTGAAGCCTCTTTGACACAATGCTCAGCATACACCCTTGCAGTTGGGGCTCAAGTTGGGAGTCACCAGCCCTCAGATTCTGTTATGCACTAAGGATGAGCTCCTGGCGTGCAGGACCCATGGTGCATGTAACTTAGTGTTTCTGGTGTCCAGACGAGATCCAAGCACAGAACATGTGCCAGTGTTTATCGACTTAGTAAGCCGAGGAAGGGAGGGAGGGAGGGAGGGAGGGAGGGAGGGAGGGAGGGAGGAAGGAATGGCTCCATCTTGATCCTGTCTGGTTCCTCTTCCTTCTTCCTCTGCAGCTAGTACAGATGGCATTGTCCTGGCCACAGAGCTTCTCCACCATCTTCTGCCTGGTATTCTGGGTGTTGAGGGCCTGGAAGCATCAGGTCCCCAAAGGCCTGAAGAGTCCACCAGGGCCCTGGGGCTGGCCCCTGCTTGGACACATACTCACCTTGGGGAAGAACCCACACCTGGCACTGTCGCAGCTGAGCCAGCGTTATGGGGACGTGCTAGAGATCCGCATTGGCTGCACACCTGTGCTGGTGCTCAGTGGCCTCGACACCATCCGGCAGGCCCTGGTGCGGCAGGGCGATGATTTCAAGGGCCGGCCTGACCTCTACAGCTTCACCCTGATCTGTGGTGGCCAGAGCATGACCTTTAACCCAGATTCTGGACCAGTGTGGGCTGCCCGCCGTCGTCTGGCCCAAAAGGCCCTCAACACCTTCTCCATCGCCTCAGACCCGGCTTCCTCGTCGTCCTGCTACCTGGAGGAACATGTGAGCAAGGAGGCTGAGGCCCTCATCAGCAAGTTTCAGGAGCTGATGGCAGGGGCTGGGCAGTTTGATCCCTATAATCAGGTGGTGGTGTCGGTGTCCAAAGTCATTGGTGCCCTGTGCTTTGGGCAGCACTTCCTCCAGAGCAGTGAAGAAATGCTCAGCCTTGTGAAGAACAGCCATGAGTTCGTGGAATCTGCCTCTTCTGGAAACCCCGTGGACTTCTTCCCAATCCTTAAATACCTGCCCAACCCCACCCTGCAGATGTTCAAGGCCTTCAACCAGAGGTTTGTGCAGTTCTTGACGATAATGACCCAGGAGCACTATCAGAACTTTGACAAGGTGAGCCCAGTATATGGGTAGTGGGCAGGCATCCTGCAGAGCTTGTGTGTGGCCCCTCACCCAGCTCCAAAGCACCCAGATCGCTGATGTGCTGCCAAGGCCTAGGAAGGCTCTGGGATACCTGGGACCAGCCATGTGACCTGAAGCCAATCCTTCTCTGCCTCTGATCTTAGTTTCCTCATTCCTATAGCCTCCTTCTCAGAGCTACTCAACACCTCAGAGAGCCCTGTAATGTGGGGGGCTGTTACTATGAGTGAGAAGGCTTTTTTTTTTTTTTTTTTTTGTGGAACCGAACCCGAGACTCTCTGGTCCGCAGGCTGATGCTCAACCACTGAGACAAACTGGCCAGGGCCTTTTTTTTTCTTCCTTTATTGATGTTAGAGAGAGAGAAAGGGAGAGGTAAAGAGATAGAAACATCAACGAGAGAGAACATTGACTGGTTGCCTCCTGCATGCCCCCCACTGGGGATTTGGCCCACAACCTGGGCATGTGCCCTGACTGGAAATCGAACAGGTGACCTCTTGGTGCAGGGTCAACACTCATCCACTGAGCCCACTGGCTGGGCATGAGAAGGCTTTTGTTCTGCAAGAACCTCAACCCTGACAGAGACTAATTCTCAGCTCAGATGTCACTTCCCTTCCCTTACTCACACTAACCTCCTCTTTGAAATTGGACCCCTGAGGTTATTGGGAGGAAGGATCAATGGGGCATGAAATTATACTGTTAAGCCCTCCTGCTGTGAGCCTAAACCAATGACTGGAGGCCTGGAGAGGTTGTCAGATGGGGTGGGGCAAGGCTCAGCCTTTGACTTTGGACGTGCTGGAGTGCCTCTAAACTTGTGATCTCTCAGAACAGTGTCCAGGATATCACAGGTGCCCTGTTCAAGCACTGTGAGGAGGACTCCAGACCCAATGGTGACTTCATTCCCCACAAGAAGATTGTCAACCTTGTCAATGACATTTTGGGGGCTGGTAGGAGCCAGGCCCCTGCCACTCCATCCATCACTGCCCATCAACCGAGTCCATCAAATAATTTTTTAAAATCATTTATCTTTATTGTTGAATGTATTACAGATGTTTCTCACTTTTTCCCTATTGACTTCCCACCCCCCAAACCCCCTTCCCTTTGAGGTTTGTCAGTCTAACAATCAATTTGTACTTTTTTTTTTTTTTTCTTTATCCTCACCCGAGGACATTTTCCCTTTTTTTTTTTGTTCAGGTAGAGTGGGAGGGAGAGAGAGGAACAGAGAGAGAGAAACATCGATGTGAAAGGAACACATCGAGTGGGTGCCACCCGCACGACCGACCAGGGCTGGGGAAAAACTGCAACCAAGGTATGTGCCCTTAGCGGGAACCGAACCCAGGTCTCTCAGGACCGCAGGCCGATGCTCTAACCGCTGAGCCAAACCGGCCAGGGCAATTTGTACTTCTTAATCCCTTCACCTTTTTCACCCATTCCCCCAACCCCCCTCCCATCTGGCAACCAACAAAATGTTCTCTGTATCTATGAGAAAGTTTCTGTTCTGCTTGTTCATTTTGTTTGTAGATTCAATTGTTGATAGATATGTATTCATTGCCATTTTGTTTGTTCGTGTTTTTAATCTTTTTCTTCAAGAAGACTCTTCAACATTTCATATAATAATGGTCTGGTGGTGATGAGCTCCTTTAGCTTTTTCTTGTCTGGGAAACTCTTTATATGGCCATCGATTCTAAACAATAGCATTGCAGGATAGAGTAATCTTGGTTGTAGGTTCTTGCTTTTCATCACTCTGAATATTTCTTGCCACTCCCTTCTGGCCTGCAAAGTTTCTTTTGAGAAACCAGCTGACAGTCTTATGAGAATTCCCTTGTAGGTAACTAACTGCTTTTCTCTTGCTGCTTTTCAGATTCTCTCTGTCTTGAACCTTTTGCATTTTGATGATAATGTGTCTTGGTGTGGGCCTCTTGGGGTTCATCTTATTTGGGACTCTCTGTGCTTCCTGGACTTGTATGTCTGTTTCCTTCACCATGTTAGGGAAGTTTTCTGCCATTATTGTTTCAAATAGGTTTTCGATTTCTTGTTCTCTCTTCTTCTGGCACCACCAAGATGCGAATGTTGGCACGCTTGAAGTTGTCCCAGAGGCTCCTTACAATACCCTCATTTTTTTTTTTTCATTCTGTTTTCTTTTTGCTGTTCTGATTGGGTGCTTTTTGCTTCCTTATATTCCAAATCGATGGTTTGCTTCTTGGCTTTACCTACTCTACTATTGAATCTGTGTAAATTGTTCTTTATTTCAGTTAGTGCCTCCTTTATTTCTGACTGGTCCTTTTTTATGCTCTTGAGGCCCTCACTAAGTTCATTTAAGTTCTCACTAAGTTCATTGAGCATCCTTATAAGCAGTGTTTTGAACTCTGCATCTGTTAGGTTGCTTATCTCCATTTCGCTTAACTTTTTTCCTGGAGTTTTGTTCTGTTCTTTCACTTGGGACCTGTTTCTTTGTCTCCTCATTTTGGCTGCCTCCTTCTGTTTGTTTTTATGTATTACTTAACGAGAGGTATGGGGCTAGCTGAGACCACATGCTGCTTGTTTGAAAGAATTTAGGAAAACCTGAAGCAGGATCCAAGACAGGTCAATCCTATGGTAAAGCAACGGGGAACAGCTTGGGTGGGCCTGAAAGTTGGGTGGGCAGGGCCTCAGGGAATCACCAGGGCGGGGCTACCAGTATGAGCCAGGTTGTTGGAGTCCCAGATATGGTGGCTGTTTGCCGCCCCAGGGAAGTGCTCACCAAATGAACAAAGGCCTATGACAGTACCTCTGTCCAGGAGAAAGCTGCCTCTCCAGCCCTCGCTCCATTGCCAAATTCAGTTCTTCCCCATATATCTCTGGCACCCCTCAAGCTGCCTCCCCTCCGAGCTTAGAGGAAGCAAGTCCGAGTAAGTGCATGGGCCCTTTAAGAGGACCTGCCTGGGGCTCCCGCAGCCCCACCCTCCCTCAGCCTCAGTTCTGCTGGTTTTATAGCCTGAAGTGATGGAGATTCTCTTCCTGGCACTGGAACCCTGATCTGGGCGCCTGATGTGGGACAGGGACCCCTCAGTCCTCAGGGAGGAACTTCCCAGCCGAGGTGTCCAACTGATTGTCATCTGCCACACATGGGTGTGGGACCAGACTGTCTGTCTCTGCCCCTCCTACCAGTCTCGGTGTGGCTGCTTCTTTAATTCTGTAGTTGTAGGACTTCCATTCAGCTTGATTTCAAGCGGTTTTAAATGATGGTTGTTCTGTAGTTTAGTTGTAACTTTGATGTGGTTATGGGAGGACGAAATACTGCATTTACCTACCCGCCATCTTGACCGGAAGTCTCATTAAATAATTCTTGAACCACACACCAGATGGTGTGGGACACAGAGACCTGGCCTGGGTTCAGGGTTTGAGCCTAGGCTATGCCACCAACCCCCAGTAGAAACTCAGCCAAGCCTTTCTCCTCCTCTGGGCCTGTTTTCCCATTTGAACAATAAAAGGCTCTCTGGCCTATAAGTCTAGGGCCCTATAATTCCAGCAGCTAATTATGACTCAAGGTTAGGGGTGGGAGATCAGGGGCAGGAAACAGAGAAAGATAATGCTTGGTACATACATGGTGGGTGCTTGGTAAATGTCTTCCTTCCTTCCTTCTGTACCTTGCCCCATGCTGCCTAGGATTTGACTCGGTCACAACAGTCATCTCCTGGAGCCTTATGTACCTTGTGACAAATCCTGAGATACAGATGAAGGTCCAGGAGGAACTGGGTATGCAGAGTGAAGTCTTGGGGTCCTAGATCATTTGTTCAATCTATATATAGCCATTATATGTCTAGTATGTGCAAACTCTGGGCATACAATGATGTCCACCCTTGTCTAGAAGATGCTGGGGGTTAGTGGGTCTCAGACATGTAAACAGACATAGAGTCATACCACATACAGTGACATTTAGTATAATAGGGGACACAGATACCATGGAGGACTCAGGGTGGTCCCTAAGCCCTGCCTGTCCTCTGTGGCCTGCAGACACAGTGATTGGCAGGGCACGGCTGCCCCGGCTGTCTAACAGATCTCAGCTGCCTTATTTGGAGGCCTTCATCCTGGAGACCTTCAGACACTCCTCCTTCGTTCCCCTCACCATACCCCACAGGTGAGGCCTGCCTGTTCTACCTTCCCACCTCTCATCCTTATCATATTTTCTCCTCCTAGTTTCTCAGCTCTCGCCCTAGCTCAGGCCTCAGCATCTCCTTCCTGACCATGACACCAGGTTCCTCAGACTCTCGGCCTCTAGTCTTCCCTGGTTCAGTCTAAACATGATAAAACTACCCAGCTCTCAGGAGAAAATCACACTCCTGATCTCAGCTCTTTTACCTTTGTTCACATTCTCTCCCTAAAAGTACTCTCAGTGCAACCAGGCTGGCCTCATTGTCCCTTACAAGCATGATCCAGACAGCCTCCAGTTATGCTTATGCTGGGCCTTCTGCTTGAAATGCCTTCTAATCTCTTTTCTGGCTGCCAGAATCCTATCCCTGCCCAAGGTCAATCCTGACGCAGCAAACTTCCCCTCCCCTAGAAGCCTTTCTTGACTCATCTAGCTGGCACTGCTTCATTTCTGATGTCTTGTAGGACTAATAGCCATTTGTTCTTAATTATGTCCTGTGATTTTTTTTTTTAATCCTCACCCGAGGACATTTTTCCACCCTTTGCTCAGATATAGTGGGAGGGAGAGAGAGGAAGAGAGAGAGAGAGAGAGAGAAACATCGATGTGAAAGGGACATATCGAGTGGCTGACACCCGCACAACCAACCAGGGCCGGGGACAAACTGCAACCAAGGTACGTGCCCTTAGCGGGAACCAAACCCGTGTCTCTGGACCGCAGCCCGACGCTCTAACCACTGAGCCAAACCAGCCAGGGCTGTCCTGGGATTTTAACGTTAAGTGAGATAGTGAACACTTCCTCTGCCAACATGTTGATCTATTTATTCCCAGAGTAAGAGTTCTTACTCCTCATTCAGGCTGGAAACTCCCCAGGGGTCCAGAGAATAGCCAGGTGCACAGATGGGCACAAACAGAAGTGTAGTAAACACTTGTTGAAGTGGAAAAACCAGAGCCAAGGTAGGGGAAGGATAATGTCCCCCTTCCCTCCTTCTGACATTTCTTTCCAGTGTAGAGTATAAAGCCTGTGGTAGGCAGGCTATTGGGGTGGGGTGGAGGTAGGAGCAGGAAGCATCCAGAGATGTACCCTGGTTTTCCAGCCTGTAAGCCTGACAGAGCCCTCTTTCCCCCTCAGCACAACAAGAGACACAACACTGAACGGCTTCTACATCCCCTAGGAACGCTATGTGTTCATAAACCAATGGCATGTCAATCACGACCAGTAAATACACATCCTCCACTAAAGAATGTACGCAGTTCAGCAGACAGGGAGGCTGTTTTTGCCTCTAGTATCTGGTTATATAAAAAAGGAATGGTGCCTCAATTGCTATATAATTTTCTCTAAGTGATAAAATTTAGGTCTATGTTTCTCAAACTCTAGTGCAATAAGAATTACCAGGAAGATGAAGAATAAAAGAATTAACCAGGAAGCTGGTTATAGATTATGGCACCCCATCCCCCAAGATTCCACTTAGGTAGCTAAGGTTCCACCTTAGGTGATCCTGATGTGAATGGCTTAGGGACTTCTGTATAGAAAATTGCATTTAGCCTTGGCTGGTTTGGCTCAGCGGTTGGAGTATCGGTGCACGGACCAATGAATCGCGGGTTCGATTCCAGCCAAGGGCACGTACCTCGGTTGCGGTTCGTCCCCGGCCCTGGTCGGGTCATGTGGGAGGGAACCAGTCGATGTGGCTCTATCACATTGATGTTTCTCTCTGTCTCTCCCTCTCTCCCTCTCTATCTGATAGTAAAATAGAAAAATATCCTTAGGTGAAAAGAAAAAAAAAAAAAAAAGAGAGAGAAAATTGCTTTTTTAGTCTATAGGTAGGGAGATCACATAATTTACCATCCAAACAGGGGTACTTCTGAGTGTGGGATGCTATCAATAATTACTCCACCCCGGCCAGGTAACGAGTTGAAGCATCACCGCATGCACCAAGGTTGGGGGTTTGATCCCCGGTCAGGTAACATACAGGGGTTGACCAGTGGGTGCATGAATGGGTGGAACAAGAAAAGTCAATGTTTCTCTCTCTCTCTCTCTCTCTCCCTCTCCCTCTAATTTTTTTTTTTAATCCTCACCCAAGGACATTTTTGCATTTACCTTCAGATAGAGCAGGAGGGAGGGTGGAAGGAAGAGAGAGAGAGAAACATCAATGTGAGAGAGACAAATCGACTGGTTGCCACCCACACAACCCCCACTGGGGCCAGGGACAAACTGCAACCGAGGTACATGTCCTTAGCGGGAACAGAACCCGGGTCTCTCTGGTCCACGGGCTGATGCTCTAACTGCTGAGCAAAACCAGCCAGAGCTTCCTCTCTCTCTTTAAAGTCAATAAATTTTTAAAAATTACTCTAAAACGATAAGCACAAACCAGGATATATTATGGATTCTTCTTTTATACTGATTGGAATGAAGATAATTTAATATTAAAAGATACTATTTTCAAGGCTGATCATTTTAGAAAGAGCTCTGTAAAATAAATAAACATTAAAGTACAGTTTGGTCCCTTTCCCCACTCTCCTCTTACTGCTATCTATTCTAACACGTGAAATCAACAGAAGTCTGTTCAGAAGTCTCTCCCCGAGACTCTCCTTCTAGGGCCTCCTGGCCAAAAAATCCCAGCTCCTCTGTCCTTCTTGCAGGAAGCTGTGGGGGGACCCATCTGAGTTCCGGCCAGAGTGATTCTTCACTGCTGATGGCACTGCCATCAACAAGACCTTGAGTGAGAAGGTGATGCTCTTTGGCATGGGCAAGCACCGGTGTATAGGGGAGGTCCTGGCCAAGTGGGAGGTCTTTCTTTTTCTGGCCATGTTGCTGCAGTGACTGGAGTTCTATGTGCCACCAGGCATGAAAGTGGACCTAACCGCCATCTATGGGCTGACAATGAAGCACGCCCACTGTGAACATGTCCAGACATGGCTGCGCTTCTCCATCAAGTGAAGAAGAAACCAACATGCTAAGGCAGAAGGAAGGGTGGCAGTCACCTATGGGTCTCAGCTTTTTTTCTTTCCTTCTCTTTTTTAAAAACAGCTTAATTGAGATATAATTCATGCAGGAGAAAAGAATTTTTCCCTTTTCTAGTCTAGGTTCTTTGTCTGGTCTAAAATTAAATTGACATAGACAGATTAAGAGGAGAAAAACACATTTAATTTTGTACACATGGGAGCCCATAGAAATATGAGACTCAAGTCACCAATGCAGGTAGCTTTTATAGTATCTTTAAAACAAAGAAAGAATTATTTGTAAAGATTTGATAAAACAAAGGAGTTTGGGCAGCAAATTAATGAAGAAGTAACAAAGTTTGCTTATACAGCCTTCTTGGCCTTGAATTCCCTATCTCTGGTGATAAGGATGACTCCTACTCTCCTGATGTAGGGAGAATATCTTCACACAGGAGATTTATTTCCTGCTTTCTGGAGGACAAGGGAGGGGCAGAGAGTACCTTTTGTATGAGCTGTTTCTTAAGTACCTTTAACTCAAAATAATTAATCTGCCAAAATGGAATAGTTTAGGTGGCTTATTTTGCTCCTCATCATTCATATACCATATAATCCATCCCCTAAAATGTATAATCCATGACTTTCAGTGTATTCACAGAGTTGCGCTACCACACCACAATCAATTTTAGAGCCTTCTCATCACCCCCAAAAAACAACAAAACAAACACCATACCCATAAGTTACTCCCATTCTTCCCTAACCCACCTTCCCTGCCCCACCAACCCCAGGAAATTACTTATTTTCTGTCTCTATAGATTTGGCTACTCTGGACATTTCGTGTAGATGCAATTATACAATAAGTGGTCTTTTGTGACTGGTTTCTTCACTTAACATGGTTTCAAGGTTCATCCATGTTATAGCATGTATGGTTTCTTGAGTATTGACTGGGCCCATGTTTGTTTCCTCAGTCATGGATGGGTGCATCTTTCCCTACTTTCTCTTCTCTCTTTTCCTGTATGATCCTGGTCTTTGAACACTTAAAGGGAAGAGGGAAGAAATGACCCAGTCTTGTGGGCCAAACCTAGATGGGTGAATGGGGATCCCTCATGCCCCATCTTTAAAAGGTAGAACATCTGACTTCTCACAAGGCCCTGATTTGTTCATTCACATTTAGGGGAGGATGAACTCCCCAGAAATGCTTGGGTTATTTGCAAAAGCCCCAGGTCTCATCAAAGGACACTATCAAAATAATGAAAAGATAAGTCACAGAATGAAAAATATTTGCAATTCATATATTTAATAAGAGACTAATATCTAAAATATAATTAGGAACTCCTACAGCTCAACAACACAAAAGCAAAACCCAATTAAAAAATGAGCAAAAGACTGAATTGACAATTCTCTAAAGAAGATATGCAAATGGACGAGCACACTAGTTATTAGGGAAATGCAAATCAAAACCACAATGAGACACCATTTTACACCTACTGGAATAGCTATTTTTAAAAGCTGGATGGTTATAAATATAAGCTGTTATATGAAAGCCTTGTGACAGCCACAAAACAAAAATTTAAGGTAGATAGACAAAAAATAAAGACAAAGGGATATAAATATACCACTACACACACACAAAAAATCAAATCACAAAGGAAGAAAGCAAGAGAAGAAGAAAAAAGAAATAGAAGAACTAAAAACAATTAACAAAATAGTGCCCTGGCTGGTGTGGCTCAGTTGGTTTGAGCATCATCCTGTACACCAAAAGGTGGCGGGTTTGATTCCCAGTCAGGGCACATACCCAGGTTGCAGGTTTGATCCCTGGTTGGGGTACATTTGGGAGGCAACCGATTGATGTTTCTCTCTCACATCAGTGTTTCTCTCTCTCTCTCTCAAATCTATAATAAAACATATCCGCGGGTGAGGATTTTTGTTAAAGGCAATAGATACATACCTATCAATAATTCCTTTAGATATAAATAGACTAAATTCTCCAATCCAAAGTCATAGAGTGGCTGGTTTGGTTCAGTGGTTGGAGCGTCGGCCTGTGGACCAGAGAGTACCAGGTTCGGTTCCCGCTAGGGGCACATACCAAAAAAAAAAAGTCATAGAGTGGCTCAATAGATTAAAAACAAAACAAAACACAAGACCCATCCATAAGCCACCTACAAGAGACTAACTTTGGAGATAAGAACAAACAGAGACTGAAAGTGAAAGGATGAAAAAGATATTTCAGCCCTGGCTAGTTTGGTTCAGCAGTTAGAGCATCAACCCGTGGACCAGAGAGACCCGGGTTCTGTTCCCGCTAAGGGCATGATATATGATATATACATATATAATGGAATATGACTTGGCCATAAAAAAGAATGAAATCTTATCATTTGCCACAACATAGATGAACCTAGAGGGTATTATGCTAAGTGAAATAAGTCAAACAGAGAAAGACAAATACAAAATGTGTAATCTAAAGAGCAAAATAAACAAGCAAAATTGAAACAGACTCATAGACTGGTGATTGCCAGGGGGAAAGGGGCTTGGGGGACTGTGTGAAAGAGGTGAAAGGGTTAAGAAGTACAGATTGGATCTGGCTGGTGTGGCTCATTGGTTGAGTATTGTCCTATGTACCAAGAGGTCATTGGTTTTTTTCCATGCCTAGTAGGGGGTATGCAGGAAGTAGCTGATCAATGTTTCACTCTCTCCCTCTCCCTTCCTCTCTCTCTAAAAGGAAATCAATAAAAACATATTAAAAAAAAAAAAAAGAAGAAGAAGTATAGCCCTGGCTGGTTTGGCTTAGCAGTTAGAGCATCGGCTGCAAACCAGTGACTCTTGGGTTTGATTCCGGTCAAAGGCATGTATCTTGGTTGCAGTTTGTCCCCAGCCCTGGTCAGGGTCGTGTGGGGGGTAACCAGTCGATGTGTTTCTTTCACTTCCATGTCTATGTCTGTCTGTCTGTCTGTCTCTCTCTTCCCCTCTCTCCTTCCCTCCCACTCTATCTGAAGATAAATAGAAAAATTTCCTTGGGTGAGGATTTAAAAAAAAAGCCAGGCCAGTGTGGCTCAGTGGTTGAGTGTCGATCCATGCATCAAGAGGTATCCTGGTCAGGGCACATGCCCAGGTTGTGAGCCAAATCCCCAGTGGGGGACATGCAGGAGGTGTCCAATCGATGTTCTCTCTCATCAATGTTTCTATCTCTCTCACCCTCTCCATTTCTCTCTCTTTAAAATCAATAAAGAAAAAAATTTTTTTAATGAAAAAAGTAGTACAGATTCATAGTTACAGAATAGTCACAGGAATGTAAAGTACAACCTAGGGAATATAATCAATAGTATTGCAATAACTACTTATGGTTATCACAATTATGGTGCCCAGTGGGTACTGTGGGGGAACACTTTGTAAAGTATATGATTGTCTAACCACTATGCTGTATACCTGAAGCCAATACAAAATAATATTGAAAGTAAATTGTAATTGAAAAAAATTGGAAGTGTAGAGGAAGGAAGGAAGGAAGGAAGGAAGGAAGGGAAGGGGAGAGGAAGGAAGGAAGGAAGGAAGGAAGGAAGGAAGGAAGGAAGGAAGGAAGGGAGGGAGGGAGGGAGGGAGGGAGGGAGGGAGGGAGGGAGGGAGGGAGGGAGGGAAGGAAGGAAAGGAAAGAAAGGAAGGAAAGGAAGGAAAGGAAGGCACATTGAGATAGGCAGGAGGGCCCTGGCTGGTTTGGCTTAGCGGTTAGAGCATCGGCTGCGGTCCAGAGAGACACGGGTTCGGTTCCCGCTAAGGGCACGTACCTCAGTTGTGGTTTGTCCCCGGCCCGGTTGGGCCCTGTGGGAGGCAGTCACTTGATATGTCCCTTTCACATAGATGTTTCTGTCTCTTTCTACCTCTCCTTCCTACTCTGTCTAAACAAAAAATGGAAAAATGTCCTCGGGTGAGGACAAAAAAAGATAGGCAGGAGGGGCAAAGACTCAGTCTAGTCAGGACCTACCCTACTCCCCACTCTCCATGCAGTGACCCACAAGTGAAAGGGATATCACAGCTGCAGAGATCCACCCCCCACAAAGGGCGAGCGGGCTGAGTCCCAGCTTCGGGGACCTGCACCAGAAAGAGGAGCCCCCATAACATCTGGCTTTGAAAACCAGTGGGGCTTACATGTAGGAGAGCCAAAGGGCTATAGAAAACCAAGGTTGCACTTTTTTGAATCTCAGAGCAGAAGCAGCAGTGTGAAAAGTATGTGGATTATACGTGAAGGTGATACATTGCCTAATTTTAGGACATGTGCTAGAGAACAATGTATTAGTCGGAACTTTCTTTAGGGACAGAAATGCTGATGGATGCCATTATTTTCCCTTTCTTTAGTCTCCTACCGAGCTGGTCTGACACTGGCAAGCACCATTTCTGACACTTTCCATTAACCTTGGTCATCCAACCTAACATTGTTCACCCAACCCTGACATTTCCCTGAGGACCCAACCAGGCTGGCACCCCTCCAAAACTGCTCCTGCCCTGCTACACCTGGTGGGTGGCCTCAGTCAGCACCAGTACACAGCAGTGTCTGCAGCACCAAAGGCATTCCCTGACCACCAGTGTACACACAACCGTTGCGGCCAGGTCTCACAGTTAGCCAGGCCAGGGACCAGCCTCACCTGTGTCTTTAGTAGTTGTGGCCCAACCACAATGGGAGTCCACACTAGTCCACGCAGGGAACACTTCTGGAGCATCTGGCTCTGGTGACATGGAAGGATTACACCATGGGCCTGACAGGACACCTTCCAAATAAGGCTACTTTTTCAAGACCAGGAGATGCAGCTGGTCTACCTATACATAGAAACAAACAGGCAAAATGAGGAGACAAAAGTATATGTTCCAAACAAACAAAGGCAAGCAAAACCCCAGAAAAAGAACTAAACAAAAGAGTTCAAAGTAATAGTCATAAAGAGAAAGGAATCGAAAACCTGTTTGAAGAAATAATGGCTGAAACCTTCCCTAATCTGGTAAAGGAAACAGACATTTAAG